ACATCTAGCAGTTAAATGCTTAAAAAATCCAAAAATATACCATGGATGAGTAACAGCTACCATGAAAAAACCTACTACGGGCGACAGAACTACCATAGGAAAATACCGTAAGAAACTACCATTAAATAGTAGAAAACTACTATTTAAAACTACCATAAGTGGAAGGGAAACTATTATAAAACCTTAATTTTGCCAAAACCAAAATTTTCCACCAAAATGGCGTGTAATTAATACCCTAATCTAGTAATTCTGCGATGAAAAATCTAAGGTTTCCGCATAGCCCCCATCCGCCCTGCCGTCCAAAAAGAAACTTCGTTCCAAAAGATCAGATTTATCAATAACTTTGTATCACCTATACTCGTACACAACCAAAGATTTGAATCTTTGATCATAACGACATTAAAACTCTCCCTTCGCTAAAATGGCTGAAACGTCAAATGTTTGCCAGAAAAATTAGGTAGAACAGTTTATATTTGCCTAAATTAATGATTGTCATAATTTTTAAGTTAAAATCTAAAATCAATAATCAATATGATGTGAATTTAGAAAGAGGCTGGTACTTATAGCACAGAGTATTAATTTTTAAATACCAGCAGCTATAATATTATGTCAAAATTGTGTCATACCTATGTGATAATAAGCTATGTAATCATTATATTTGTGGAAAAAAAAATTTGAATGCTGTATCATAAAAATATAAAAAAAAAACTCCAAAACTTAAATTTATGGGTGGATAGAACTACTCTTAACATTTAGGGGGGATGAAAAATAGTTGCTGTCCGATTCTCAGACCTACTGAATATGAAATTCACAAAAATCGGTCGAACCGTTTCGGAGTAGTTCAATTACGCACACTGTGACACGAGAATTTTATATATTGGATGAATTAATGTTATATAGCATGCATGCCCAAAAAAATACCTATATTATCTAGAGCTCTTTCGTGCCTTGAAAGTAGTTGAAAAGAACTTTTAGTCGTTGCTTCCGGCTGCAGCTGCAGTCGTAAGCACTGTTTTTGTTTCGATATCGTTTCTCTAGCTACGACGCTTACACGGGACTTCTACAGCTCAAAATAACAAAGTCAATGAAGCCTATTTTTATATAGTTAGGTCCGACAAATGACTCAGGGCTTGAAACCGGTTTCGAAAATACCGGTAAATAAAGGCTAATGCCGGTTTTTAGTAAAGGTTTCGTTCGGAGCGCGTCCGAAATGAAAGCGGTACCTAAAACCTTAATAAACCGGTTTAATCCAGAGCGACACGTACACGCGTCGGCATCGCTTGAAGTTTGTTTTGTTTGAACTAATTAAGTCACAACTTGTTAATTCTCAGAGATTGATGCATTTATTGACACGTTTGCTAGCGTCTAGTGAGTCTAGTTATTCATTTTTATAGATGCCGCCAGAAAAATCGAAATGAAACCCTTTAAAAACCGCTAAATTGATTCAAATCCTATTTGATTTCCCTCTTTAGGAAAACCGTTTTTTTAAGGTTAAGGTAGAACCAAACCTAAATAAAACGCTCCTAATGTACTTGACACTGATTAAGGTTTGAAAATTAACCGGTAAACAAGCCCTGAAATGACTCCACCCCACCTGATGTTAAGTGACAGTGAAGTCTAAACACGAAGATAGCTGATACAGCAGTTCTACCTGCCACACCATCTTATCATCTTACTCTGCCGGCCTGCAAGTTGCTTTTTCACGCCTCTTTTAAAGGATCTCAGGTTGTAAGAGGGAGGGAACACGTGAGCGGGCAGAGAATTCCATTTACGGATTTACGAAAGAAATGATTCACCAAATTTCTTTGTACGCGTTGGAATGTGGCCACAGTTAGACGGTGACAACGTAGGTCAGCGCGCGTGGTCCTCTGAAGGAAAGGGGAAGGTGTAATAAGAGAGAATAACTCATCAGAACACTCGCCTAATGCTGTAAAGGATATCTGCAACTACTCAAACAAAAAACATGTAGTTCAACACCAAAAGGATGTTAACCAAAATACTGTACCAACAACTTATTAAGGCCTATAGGGAGAACCTATCAGCTGGGTTATCATAGGAGACCACAGCAATGAATAAGATAAAATTTATAGTCCTACAATACAAAGTATTTAGAAGCGAATGCCAAATGATGATATGTTGCTTCAGACACACGCTATGCAAAAGATCCCTGCTCCGATGTAAGTCCAAGGACGCCCGACCTTAGATAAGTCGGGAATACGATAGGAACAAAGGGAAACACGCCATCAGTCTACGTCAATAGAGTTCAAAATGACGTGCCATTAGGTAAACACCCGTTTAAGATCGCTGGACAGCTTATCAATACGTCATGGGCAAGTCGAAATTGTTTATGACATCTTGTGCTGTAACGAAAAGAAATGAAACTTTTTATTGGCCATCTTAACAAAAGAAGAACTTATGAATACCTAGAACAATAAAAATAAATAATATAAGAAAAAATAAAACCTACCGAACAAAAAATAAAAAAGAACATAATAATCTATAATAAAATAGCCAATCAGGGTCCTACCTCAGCTTATGCTGACACAGTGAGAATGTACTTTCTCACTATATCAGTATAATAATAATAATAATCTTTATTTCTGAACCATATCACGTATACAATATAACAATTTAGCGTTAACAACCGTAATAGTATATGACTGTGTTATAGTTATTAGCGCCCACCTCAAAAGATAGACACTTTACAGACATGATTGGAAATAAACAAGGTATTTATAATACATAACACTGTGTGTGTGTGTGTATGAGTGAGTGTGTATATGTGCTGTGTGTGTGATAGAGAGATGTGTATATGTGCATGTGCGTGTTTTACTTGATCAATGACTCCACAGTGTCATATTCCAAGTCAAGTAACCACCCGCTCAGTTTGATTTTACATTCATGTTTTGAAAGAGGGTAAATATAGAGAAGGGGAGAAATGAAGTCGTAATGATGTTTCAGTAGAGCTATTCGAGAATTTCGAATTTTACAAACATTGTCTTTCCTTATTTTATTTATCGTTATTCAGTATCAGCGCTGGTATTCTGGCGGGACCTGGGCGAAGTCGTTAAAACCAACCAAAACAACTAGTAATCGCAATGTAGTCTTGAGGGAGGAAAGGGCGAGTATATAGTCTTCACCTCGAATTGGAAACACCCGATTGAGCACATAGTGGGTCTTAGGTAATAGGTGCAGGAGTATTATCTGGTGTTTACTGGGTAGGGACCTACTCATTTCATGGAACCACGGGGCTGGATCACCCGCGTTAGTTTGAGGAAAAAGGTTATAGAGGGCAATTTTTGAAGTGAAAACTTCTTTAACTCGCGTCATGACACGTGGCCTGATCGCATCACAGGCCACGTGTCCTGATCGTAAGACGAAAACAATAAAATTGGAAAGATTGTTGACTTTCAATATATTGGACGAATCATAGTAATATTTCATTTTATCGTATTATAATAATAAATCTCCATCTAGGACGTCCAGGTGGCAGCTTGATTGCGAAGAAATGCATTTTTTTACAATAGATGTCGCTAGGTGCGCTTAAATAAGATTTATGTAAGTTGATTTTTCTGAGAGATAAACTTTTTAATGTTATATAAATTGTCATGTTTGTATACGATAGCGCAATAAATTAATATTGTATTCTACCACATAAATGATAGTACTTTTATACTGATAATTAAAACAATTCGTACAAAATCATTCCCTAACCATTCCAAAATATCAAAAATGCACAACGTTAATGTTCAAGTTTTCACTTCAGCCGGTACTGCCGGAGTGCAACCCGCTTTTTTTATTTATTTTTATACAACAAGGAGAACAATTCCGTCGTACATGATTTTTGTGTAACTTTTTCCTTTTACGCAGCCGCACGCAACGGAAGCAAATGGAATATTTTTCCCGTTTTCGCAACATTTTGACGTGACAACGTCTTAAATTAGGTTGCGGCTGGGAGTCACTTATGAAAAAGTGTAACGCTCGGTAACGTTACGATGAGTCTCTCGTGTTAAGTTTAAGTTTACATGTACAATGTTTTAGTAAACAAAATATATTTCTATAGTTAAAATTTGTGCAATTCTTATTTTCATTCAATTCCTTGTTCCTATTGTGCAATTTAATTATATTCATATCAATAAATATTCTACCGAGAAAAAGACGTTGTCACGTAAAATCTTCGCCCGTAAAACCGACTTTACAGGCAACCATTTTTTTTAATAAATGCTCCGCTCCCATTTTTCATAGTGTGATGTTATATAGTCTGAGGCCTTCCTCGATATATGCACTATCTAACATAATAATAATTAAACACAACCTACCCGTAGTCTTGAGATTAGCGCGTTCAACAAAAACAATCAAACAATCATCATCAGCCTATTAATGTCCCCACTGCTGGGGCTCAGGCCTTCGCTATGGATGGAATAGGGAGATAGGGCCGTGATCCACCACACGGACCCAGTGCGGATTGGTGGGTACTAATGACTGCAGATGCAGCCGAGACCAACGGCTCAACGTGCCTTAAGCACGGAGGAGATCAGGATAGCTTTGATTACCCATCCAATTATCGACCACAGCGAAAGTTGCTTAACTTCAAAGATCACAGCGGAACACGTTTACCATTTGAAATGAAATGAAATGAAATGAAAAATCTTAATTGGCCATGGTATAAGAAACAGAGGAAAAAAGATATAAAAAAGAAACTTAACCTAAGAACAAAAATTAATCATTATAATTAAAATGGCCAATCAGGACACTGCCTCAGCTTATGCTGATACAATGAGAAAATATTCTCTCACTGTATCAGCGCTGGTATTCTGGCAGGGCCTGTTTGAGGACGTGTTAGGCGCTATAGTAAACAAAATAACATAAATACTTGGTGTCGATTCTGGCGTGACTCTCCGAACCCAAAACCAAATTCAACACCAGTCCCTCCCCTTCATTTCCGCCATCGAGTTCCTCAAATCAAACAATATACAAGTACAGAAAAAGCAGAATGTTACCTGACTTCTTCTAAACTGCCATGGAGTAGTTTCATGAAGCAATGTGAATCAGCGTGGTCGTGTATGGCTGAGGCGTGGCCTGGACCCCAGCACAGCACCATGATGTTGAAAGCGCCGTTACCGCTGTCCACCAAATTTCTGGTGTAGCTGTGAATCAGAAGATACTGTGAGTAAATAAAGTGGACCTCTACCTCATCTTTGAGTTTGTTGTAAAATATAATCCCACCAAAAACATTCTGTAAAAAACTAGCCAAGTCTCGATGGAGCTGCTTGTTTATCTCTAAAAAGTAATGAAATCTAGACAAAGTCGTGCCAAGTCTTCCTTACTGCGATTTCTTAATTATTATAGTTAATGTTGTGTGACTTGGCCGTTGAAGGGTACACAAGGGTACAAAACCAGGTGCTACATGACACCATTGTACCAATCTGTCGCCAGAACCGCTACCCATTGACGATGGAAAATTGCCAGTTGGAAAACGTTGATTGAACAACCAGTCAATTGTGGGCTTGATAAAGTTGCGTTTACACGTAATGTTGCACGTATGAATGCATCGGTGCAATGGTGTTATGTAGCACCTAGTTTTGTACCCTTGTGTACCCTTCAACGGCCATGTCACACAACATTAACTATAATAATAAAGAAATCGCAGTAAGGAACCTTAGACTTGGCACGACTTTGTCTAGATTTAATTACTTCTTAGAGATAAACAAGCAGCTCCATCGAGACTTGGCTAGTTTTTTTACAGAATGTTTTCGGTGGGATTGTATTTTACATAATAATTTGCTTCACGATCTCATTCAAAAAGTGACACGTTCGTGGTCGAAAGTCGCATTTGCTTACGCATTGGGCCTACGGCGTTAAAAACATTCTTGCTATCGCAATCACTTCAATTAATTCATTAATGGAAATTCCAGAGCCAACCAGATTTCCATACATCATGTTGTCATATACTAAGTACGAGAAAAGATAACGTTAAATTTGCACTAGTAGAATACATGAAAGGTCGCGACCTAACAAATGATATTGATAAACCGTATAACTAAACTATGGGCTTGTACGTCAAAAACAAACGAAAAGTTATTAAACATTGAAATATTAAACTTTGACCACGTCAGTACCGTGTGGACTCAAATTTTAAAGTGTAAAGTGGTAACCTCAAATCATTTTTAAATTTCTGTTTTGATCCAAAAAAATATATCTATGTCTCTAAATTATGAATTATGTAGGTGTGACACGCGCGTCAGGATAGAATGGTTCCCATATTTTGTACGGTGCAATGTACATGAAAAAGTGAAGTGCGACGAGTACGATAATTAGGTACGGTTGTCCGCAGACTCTTTTCCGCCAAAATAGATCGTTTAAAACTGCATCAATTAGGCGGTTTATTGAATGTACTGCGTACAAAAAGTCCCCTGAACAACCTAGGACACCGAGAGACTGGACCGAACAAAATTACGGGTGTCCCCGGAAAAATTAGAACTCATGGCATTGGCCTCAGAGACTAGGCGCTGCAACGCACAAGGCGAACTTTGAATAGAAAAGTGAATGAAATTGTATTTTCGTAGATCGTTTTAAAAAACGTAGTTTAACAAAGCAACATTCTGTAGATACAAAGTTTCAATTTCTTTATAATCCTTGCATGGCTAATAACTTACCGAAAACGATCGAATTTAGCGAATTTCTTCCAATCTTTCGGATTAGACTTGTATCCTGCCATCAGTGCCTGAACTTCCTGCACATTGACTCTCTCTTGCGAGAAGACCTTGTGTAGTTCTTCTACCAGTTTCTCCAAGCCGGTGATTTCGCTGAAAGATTAACAGAACTCTTTAAATCAAGTGATATTTGTCCATTCATAACTGACTATGTGTTATGAATGGATGTGTGCTTCCCGTCCCAATATACCTATTGTGTGGGTACCCCCACACCCTCAGCTCCGGCACCCTCATATCCCAAAGTTTTAGTTTATTGAGCGAGACTTCGGGTTTGCTGAATGGGTGGGCGGGAGGTGAGGGGAAGAGTCCCTCATAACCTCGTTGCCTTACGTAGCGGCAGAGTGTGAGTTAAAGGTCTGCTCTCAAAAAATTATAATCTCGAACTCCTCCGTGCTTCAGAAGGCACGCTGAGGCGCTTGTCAAGGTTGTTATTAAATCTTCGGACACCCATTCGTTGACTGATCGCTGCGAAAGTTGCTGCACTTCGCCAATAGCATCAGAAAAGAATAAACACTCACTGGGTAATCTTCAGAGGTCGCTCTATGGGTATCACCTCCATGTCTGTGCACTGGGATACGCGCATTTTGCAATTCGCGTTTTCAATGTCCATAGTTCAAATCTGTGAAAAAGAAGAGATTATATTTGTTATTCTTGTTCCTAAACTATTTTTTTTATTAAACGAGTATATTACTTATTTTCTGTTGGACAAAATATGGTTCATCGAGTACAACCCCTCAGGTTTGAATGGTCTAGCTAGAGGCTCCAGACGGAGAGGAGACTCCTCCCGTGAGGAGATGCCATGCGCCTGGAATACCTCTAGAGGCACTCGCCAATTCTCGGCTTGAGTTCCCCTTAGGATCTCGCCGTCTCCAAACCCGGTGACGCTGTAAAGGTCATCTGCGACCAGCAACATACACACTCAAAAAAAACGTGAGCCGTCATGGGACGCCTGGCAGATGTAAAACACTAGCCGGTTTATAATCAACTCACTCGGAGAATTGCTCGGGATGCATGCAGTAAAAAATGACATAGGTCCTGCCCCAGCAGTGGGGGCATTAATAGGCTGATGATAGTGATGATTACTGTACACTGGTTGTTTTGTAATTGTTTTCACTTCGACTCGATAGATGGCGGTGAAAGCGTCCTGATACGCGCTATGGTTAAGTTTTACCAGTTTGTAGATTAACTAGGTATTCATTTTATTTGTTCGATGAAATCATATTTATGTTTAATGTTATATATAAAATTCTCGTGTCACAATGTTAGTTACCATACTCCTCTCCGAAACGGCCTGACCGATTTTTATGAAATTTTTATGCATATAGCCCGTCACAGACGTAGCTATAATATATATTAATATGAATCATAGCAAGACATATTACAACATATTTTCAATATAAATTTTCGAGTGACCGCACACGCAGCTATAATATATATTTCTATGACGTCACCAAAATATGTCGACAGATATATTTTGGCATATTAGTGTATATTTTGGTATATTAATATATATTTTGATATATTAATATATATTTTGATATATTTTTATGATACGGTATGTTTCATTTTTCACCGAACGCCTGCCAAAATATATATTATAGCCGTGCCCCGCGGTTTCACCCGCGTTTTTCTCGTTTTCGTGGAAATACTGAGATAAAATATGCAAGCAAGCGCGCGTGGATTTCCTTAGCAGAGTTATTTTAGAAATGTATTTATTATACTCTTCAAAGATTCTTATACTTACAATCATCAACAAATATATTTCGAAAAAGATTATTACAGGATTTTATGTTAATAAAAAACTCTATGGCCCATGACTCATTAATAGCTACCAACTCTTAACATTTTACACACGTGATAACTTTTAAACGAAATATCCGATTGAGATGAAACAAAAAGTATTTTACTTCTACATAAATACTCTTGATAACATAATGCTTAATTTCGATAAATATTAATATTACGATACATATTTAACGTAGTTTTTTTTCTTCAGACGATGTTATAATTATTTTGAACACAAAATCGGTTATTGTGTTTAAACCATGATAGCTAGATATATGTTCTCGTAAACTTTTTTGTAGGTCTTAATGGGATCTACAAACCCGTAGTACATCATTTTGTTCTATTGTCAATAGTTTTTGCAGCGCACGCAAAAATAGGTTTTCGATTTTACACCTTGTGTTACAAAATAGCTATTTTATTACGGATCCCTAATTTTGAAAGAAAAAAATATAACCTATAGCCTTCCTCGATAAATGAAATACCCAACACTGAAAGAATCATTCAAATCGAACCAGTAGTTCCAGAGATTAGCGCGTTCAAACAAACAAACAAACTCTGCAGCTTTTTAATATTAGTATAGAAGTATAGATACAGCTCCCGTCTGTGGTAGTTTGTTTAATATAATATCTCGATATATAAATATATATAGCTACGTCTGTGACGGGATATATTTTGGCATATTAGTATAATACGGAATGTTCAACTTCTATTTTTCGTTCCTGACAAGGCAACATGCATATCAAATTCAGCATCGGAATCATCCTCTGAGGAACTTTCAATTAAATCTAAAAGTAGTGCTCTTGTCGAATTCATTTCGGTAAGATCGATTATAACGTTATTTCAAAATTAAAACACCCTGTGCTAGAAAATAAGCTTTAAAACCGTGCGCTTGCAAAAACGACCGCAGACCGAGTGAGGGCAAAATATATATTATAGTATAGCTCCCGTCTGTGGTAGTTAGCTATAATATAATATATATTTCGATATATTAATATATATTATAGCTACGTCTGTGACGGGCTTATTCCGTCTGAGAATCGGCAACTACCTCTATCTATTTTTCACATCCTTAAGTGATAATGGTTGTCCACCTGTTACGTAGTGTTCTGAAACCTACAATGCGCCTTCGCGCCTAAATTCAAACTATTGGGTAGTGTAACGTAGTGTTCTCATATGGTTAGGAGGAATGTTATCCCAAGAAATTGATAGAACACTACGTTACACACCCCTAAAATTTGATTTTGGACAATATTTATTTTTTAATAATGTGGTACCTATAAAAAAATACATACAACCCTAAATTTTCACTTCTACCACCTGCCCCTATATTTATGGCGGTACGAAGTTCGCCGGGTCAGCTAGTAGAAATATATATTTTTGTGAAGCGTCGCCACGCCTGAAATCGGTCTTACGATCGCCAAAAGTATAAGTGTGTACAATGAACGTATTAAACATAATATGTCTGTTTCACACGAGGGCAGGACAGTGAGGCACAACAGTTGGGTAGGACAGTGGCGTTAAAATATAGGACAGTAAAGTCAGTCCGCGCAGTGAGTTCGCGTAGCGATGGAGCGTCGACGACGACAACGGCAACATTTACGACAGTTGCTCGAAATTGCAATACGAATAGCTCTGGATGAGCTAAGTGAAATTGTAAAAAATGAAATAAATAGGAAAGAAAAACTTTGGATCAGACCCTGGATAGCAAGAAGACCAGAGCTTGGTTGTTCAAATCAAGTTATAGAAGAAATAAGGATTGTAGATACCAAAGACGCGCGCGCACACACTGTCCTGCCCTCTGCACTGCACTGTCCTCGCGTTCACACGAGTCCAGCCACAAGACAGTCGAGCGAGAAAGGTGGTGGAGGGAGCCAACTGCCCCGAAAAAATAGACCGGCGAGCTACTAACTGTTCTGCCTTGGTTAGTGTCGAGATTGTACTGTTCTGTCCTGGAGCACAACTCTCTTCCACCGAAACGAAATTTCGGCAACGAACGAATTTTAAACGAAATTTCGGCAGTGACTATATTCATCTTCGAACACGCACATAAAGTTCGGAATCACAGACAATTATCGCGAACGAATGGAATGAGTTACTCGTATATTTGTGAGTTCCTTTTGTCTACACTTTTTCAATAATATTTTTTACTTCAAAACAATATTACTTAATGACAACATTTTTGATTACATTAAAACAACCTCTTTTGACAGTGTTAGCCGACTAATTTGTAGAGTTGATGCAATCGAATGTATGTCAACCTAAATTTGTCGTGTAACACTTTGAAATATTGGCAATACAATAATAAACAAAAATTTTATTTATTTTTTGTAAGTTTTTCATACTAAAAAATGTTCCTCACGCTAAGCAGCCTTAATTAAAAATACTCTAGTAGTAATTTTAGGTTTAATTTAAACAAAAATCCCAAAACGAAAATGAAAAGGTAACACTTTTTATTTCGTCAATTAGTGGTTATAATTTCGAACAACTATCTGTCAAATTCAATTTTTAGTTCAAAAGTTTTGTGAATTATAGTAGGCTTAGAGAATTTAAATGTCAAACTATTTTCGGACGAACGAATTTTCGAAATGAAATAGAAACAGAGTAAGGAACGTGCCAAATTTCGACCAACATTTCTTTTTTCATTGAAATAAAGTAAACCTCCTGTTCCGTGCGTTCAAACGGTAGCAGTACTGTCCTGCCCACTGTTCTGCCTCACTGTTCTGCCCTCGTGTGAAATAGGCAATACTCGCTTCCTTGTACTCCAGGCCAATTCTCATGCATAAGGCACTTTATTTACAGTGCACATAAAGACTGATTCTTCGGTACCTATATTGTGGAGAAATTGAAAATAATTTGATGATATTAACACTGATTGACACTTACAACGTCTTCCCTTTTCCTTAAGAAGGATTAAACATAATATTAATTACAGCAGCACAATCGTCATTTGCGAATATTTACATCCATAGCGTTGGGCTTCTCCAAAATTTCGGACAACAAAATGTTCGTTTTTTTTTCACGAATCAGGAACCTTTGACCTCCGCGGTTAAAAGACCCTGAGTAGGCCAGAAACTGACCTTCACATATTTTATAACACTTAGGATTCAGTTATTACAGTGTTAGAATTTGCAATAGGGTATTTGACAAGTTTTAGAAAACGATCTCACGTTATTGACTTATTTTTACGGAAGATGATATTCATCATTCTGTTGTGTATTTCAGTAAAAATAACCAAATTAAAAACTCCATTTTCAAATTGCCGCGAAAGCGTTTTTCTGGACAATATGGCGTCTTACTAGTGTGTGACGTCACACGACTGTTATTAAAACGTCAAACGATACAATGTAATGTCACTTTAACTGGAAGTTTACTTGCGTGTGACGTCATTTTACGCTCCGCCAATCCCAAGAGTTTTGGGTCATGTGACAATAGATAAGAAAACTTTTATCTTCTTCGTGGGTTTTTAGTAAAATTATGATTTTTTTTTTGTAAAAATAGTCAAAAGCCCTGCCAATATTCATTCTAAACACAGATGCTAACAATTGGCACTTTATTTTTAATACTGTCAAATACCCTATTGGACAAAAAAACACTCAATCTTTGATACGACCGCAAAACAACCCACTAGTTATTTTCCATAACCAAGTATTGACTTACAAGTAAGTAAGTACATGGTGTCCTAGGCCCAAGCTGTCTTATAAATAAAATTACGTAGAAACTAGTTCTAAAACCTGTACTTAAGTGGGACTAAGTACATAGAATTGTATAACTTACAACGGCAGGTGTAACTGTGCCTGCAAATCGATGCATTAGGCAGTTGTGCCACTGACAGCG